GCGCGATCTCTTACGGTCGGCACGAAGACTGAGATAACGCGTGAGTGTGTGACAAATCGGTTATATCATTCTGAGTCGTTTGAGGCTTTTCTTTGACTGAAAATACCTCGGTGGTAGAAGGTTTCGTAATTTCTAAAATGCAGTAGGCAGATACAGCTAGCTCGTCTAAGGCGTTGTTCTGGAACGAGACCAGAACTGCTTGCACCTGTTGGGGAAGTTTTGACAAGAAGAGTTGTTTGAATAGACCTTCGTCGAAAGTTCTTGTGCCTATAACCTCTCTCATTCGTTGCAACGTATCTGTCGCAGAACCATGTTGCAGGTCGATGTTATTGAAGAGTTGATCTAACGTTTGTCGATCGGTTAGGTCTCCTCTTTTAATGATCGAACGTTTCAAGGTTTCGTAAGGTTCAGAAACATCACTAGTAAACATACTAGGTGTTACGTACCTGTTGAATTCGCGCGGTAGTGCCTTGACTACTGCGAGGAATTGTGCACGTGTGTCGATCACGCCGTGCTCGGAGAAGTCGGCTTCTGCGTAGCAAAACCAAGCTTCGATGTTGTCGGGCCAGAAAGGCATCAGTTGAAACGAAGGTGGGGACAAGGTCTTAAGCTTGAGTACTTTAGGTGTCTGTTCAGTCATGATGAAATATGAAGTACGATAATGAACGAGGGGAAATACATATATATCCAAGAAAAAATGCGAAAAAAAATCACAATGTTTAAAAAAAATAAAAAAATATGGCAATGATATATAATAATCCCAAAAAGGAACAGACTCACAGTTGCAAATAGGTGTACCAGATCATGTCGGTCTCATCAATGATGATGTCACAGGTATTCAGTGTTTGACAACGCTTTTACCAGTAACACCCTCTAATATATTTCGTTCCCACCCAGAGAAATCAAAAGACCGAGTCGAGGAGATCGGAAGAGTATATTTGGCGATGACCAATATATCGGAATTCTCTGATCTAATCTGGCTAGCGATTGCGGTTGATGTTGAGCACAGCGTTACCACACGTGATCTGGTGCGGATGCATGACCGAGCGCCTTCAGGTAGATGAGTCCACTAAAACATATGGTCAGCATCCAATGTCGAAAACTTAGAGCTATTTATTTTGGGGATTTATTTACCGCTACAACCTAAAACCACAAAAACAGTGGGGGTGGAGTTACTGATCAGCAAGCACTGATGGTAAGAGCGATGACTTCAATCCATCCATGCTTGTAGGGCAGAAGATATAGTTATTAGTCTTCCTAACACCTTACTGTCTTGATGCACATTCTGTTCTAATAAACATCCTTCACGATTCTAACTTCCACTTCCCTTCCTTCATTTGAACCTACTCCACCTTGTTAAATATCACAAGTCATTGTTCTTTCTTACTGAATTCTCTCATCTGGAGGCTCTAATCACGTTTCACTCTAGCAGCAATAGCTAGTATAAATTCAATCTGATAACTTATCATACCTTTGTCTGCCCCACTTTAAAATGTTAAAGATTATTTAGCGTCCATATTTAAGTGCCTTGCTGCTCCCTTGTTTCTCTATTTTCAGAATCTTGCTCTGAGGGCAAAGCTATGGAACTTCCGACGTGTGAAACGAACCTGGCGTACACGTTCTCTCAAGGTCATAGTTCACACCAAGCGCTCCAAAAATCTACTTTATAACAATTGGAAACTTAAAAAGTTGTATCGCATAATTACTGAGCATGACCACAATTCTAACACAGTGATGCCAATGTTGGATCTAATGTGTAACGTGGACACGACGCCGCTTTGGAAAATATTTCGGAGACTGTACTCAGTGCAATACTAAGGCATAAACTTAACCATTAACGTTCCAAGATATCTGCTTGAATGTAATGTTACTCACTTTTATTGATTTTATCTATTTAACGACCCTACTTGAGAAGCATACTGTAGGCAAACTAGCTTCGTAATTTGTAGATCATGTCTGTGAAAATGGTGTATATTTGTTTCGGCAGAAGCATATGTTATTATTAAGTGAGAAAACGATGAACAAAGTGGGCGGTAGTCCCGAGATGAATCTTTCGGGGAAAATTCTTTAGCACCTAGGAATTGTCTTGCTGAGCTATCGATGAATAGAGAGTGAACTGATAATGTCATTCGGCAAATCAAGTGTGCCAATCCACACCAACATCAGGTTCCTTCCCAGAACATCACTACCACGTTGATCAAGGTAACCCTTGAAAGATTGCATATCGAAGAGCGCACCCAGATAGGTCCCGACTTCTTCATATTAGGAGTTACTCCCACTTGGGATGATTTCTAAGTCGAAGTGACTCCAATCCTCTCAGTGGATAGCTTTAAGAGAAGATTTGACGAAGACGTATTTATCCACGTCATCAATATAATTTTATTGACATATTCGCTTCACGAAATAATCGAATCGTCACTTTATTATTTTCACATTTCAACAGCCCAACCTTCTGACTAGTAATGTAATCGATGCTGGTATCCAGGATCTTTATTACGACGAGACAAACGCATTCCTTCAAATTATAAGATATGCGAACTCACAACCAACTACACAAACTGAGTAGAATTAGTGCAATCTAGTGGCCAAACTAACAGCTGATGGTTAATAAAAGATGTATGGAACCATACTGTTGAGCCAGGTTCCGAGAACTACATCGGAGCCTCCGGAAGCCCTTAAGGAGCCGAAGAGTTTCATCCAATCAGAGCATGAGGGAGCTTTCCAGAATACGAACGCGGCATATTACTATTGGCCAGTAGCATAATATGTCCCTTAGCGGATTTGCCAAAATATAATACTGATTTGATTAATGCTAATAATCTATAAATACCCGTGTTCTTCTGTACAAAAGCGAATCTCTGGAGTAAAGTGCTTTTCGCTTAATTTGCGCCTTTTCTCTCATGTTCAGGTCGCTGCTGAGTTCTAGCTTTCGGTTTACCAGAGTTGCTTAGGAACCGAATAAAGCGTTCGAATTAACAAGACTTATCACATACCGAGACATTAAGAAAAGAGGGCAAAGAAATAGACCAATTTACACAAGTTTGTGATGAAGATATTAGGTACTGAAAATTGAATTTTTCGCCTGTGGTGGACCAAATATGTCAATTCCAAAATATTGAAAAATTATTGTAAAAATGCTTAGTTTACTGGTATACTGAAATATAAATTATACACAATGAGAGTACGGGACGTAAATTAAATCATTAAGAGGAGTGTTCGGGTCACGTAATCCATGATTATAAGCAGTCAGTAATTCCAAACATAATTCATATGACCCAAGACGTGCATCCAGATTATTAAAGATAGTGTGATCTATAAACACAACAAATATATAAGAGTTTTGCTATTGTGGCAGATGATAAGTAGGAACGAGTATATATGTGCAATAGTGCATTTGTGTGCGGTAATCGATGTCACCACGTGAATGCACAAAATGGGAACGGAAGATCAAAGTCAAGTTTTTTTAAATAACAATTTCACAGTCAGTAATTGTAATTGTGCAAATTACGCAAAACTAAGAAGAATAAATGGAAATGAAATCAAAAACTGATTGAAAAAGAAGTTTGTGTTAGTTATATCTACACTCTAAGGCTTCCCTAAAGGTCACTTATAAACAACGCTAATTTAAAAATACCCGGAAGTGGTCTGTAAGTCACACCCTGGGTTTCCTTGTCTTCAACTCTTAGCATACACAAAAGATAGTTAGATAAACATAGAGGTTGTGGATTATTAAGTAGGGATTCACAAATTTAAAGTGTCAAAAGTGCTAGATATTGGAACAACACATCAGATTGAACCAAATTATTTTCCTTAAAATCCCTATGAGGCATAACTCTTAGATTTAGTAGTTTTGATGTACATATATGGAAGTATTACATAAATCGCAGGATTTTACGAGCCGGTGGTGCGATGAAAAGAGATAATGCAACCAAACACAGTAAGTAGAATATACAGGTTGGCACTTAGATGACAGATACACCAATAATGACAAAGACAATAAAAGCCTTACCAAATGTTTTAAAATATGAAATAGGTCAAGACTTGTAAAAGCGGACACACAGAGTATTCTGGAATACAGGTAATCAATAATTACTAAAACTATGTTATAAGAAGTGTTCTAATTATAGTGTAGACAGTTTACTGAAAAGTGTGAGGGAGGACAAACAAAAACTTACCTGAAGAATAACAAGTGGTACTATTATTTGTCGATCCGTATCCGGGTAATGAAGATTATGTGGTACTACAATTTTCTGAAAGCATAAACTAAGGTTTCGTTTGCATACACAGCAATTGCGTGCACTTGTGTATAGAATGTACGCATCTCAAATGTGTCGATTCGCGACAGCTTAACACGTATTTGGAAATGTTTTGACACATGCAGTTCAAAAGTTTGGATACTTCACTTCTACGTGCAGTTGGTGATGATGTTATTGAGAAAAACAATGGAAGCCCCATGATCAAATCGTTCGGCTCAAAAATCAAAGCCACTGAAAACATGAGAAGTTTCTCATCTTCACAAAAAAATACCGAACGGACTAGTAGCTACTTTTGATCCTTCACTTCAGGACGAGATTGTAAACCGTATAATTTTCTCTCAACTGTGGTTATATCTCTCGGCACCAGGTTTCTGATAATTGGGAAAACACTTAGTAGAGTAGTGACATTGTTTTCATAAGAGACTACTTATCATGTAGATTTTTTCAATTCCTAAAATTTTGAGTTATTGGTGAATTACTATTATAACCTCTCCAAGCACACTGAGAGTTTGAAAAATAATAAAATCAGGATGACGCACACGCTATAAAAGAACACCACATATAATATGTAATAATGAATACAGAAACATGTTGTCAAGGGTCGTCTTTAATATTTCTCCACAATTGTTCGTCTCCACTGATCTATCTAACTTAAAAAAATAGTAAGATAAACGTGAACTACCATTTTTACAATAACGCAAAGAAACGAACGCTAAGAAGTTATCTGTTCTAAATCAATTCGTCATGAAGCTTTGGATATTAGGTATTAAAATCTCTAAAATCGTGCTTTTTACGTATATTCTAATGTGACGTTACAAACGTAACAAGGTGTATAAATACTGTTACAGTAAATGTCGTATTAAATTTACTCACCCGCGTTTGACAGAAAAACTAAAATTTTTATTGCAAAAGCTTCCATTCTCTGTAAACGCTCCGCTCCACACCTGGTCTCTAGAAAATGTCGGAACCAGAGGAATCAAATTTGCGGAAAGTAATGTTGAAAAAAAAACTTGCGAAGGGAAAATACAGTTAGGTACTACTCACTTTACAACCTTTTCCGGTTAGTATGACCGACAGTTGATACAGATATGCCCTAAATTTCCACACCTTATAGTTTTATTTTAATAGCTATGTTAAAACTGTCCACAGAATTCTTGAGTAATTTGGGGTAAATTGTATCAAGTTTGGAACTGTGCTTTTTATCATCTCGTTTAAGGTTTGTTCATAAATTCTGGGCATCACGAGAAATGGTTTATGGAATGAGTTTCCTTTGTTTTATAATATCAACTATCCTATATTTACTAAGATAATTAATTTTCCACATGCTTACGGTCATTATTGTTGGACTAGTCCTACTTTAGTGAATTACACTGATAATGTAACAGTTTATTACTTAAGGTCTACCACAGAACTACTTTTTTACTGCATTGACTGTTGGAGTAAAATTGGCCACAGGTAGCTACATTATGACATAAATATGTGAATTAAGTATCTAAATGGGATAAGGTGGAACGTTTTTCATATTTAGGTAAAAATAGAATAAAGTTAGTGTTTTTATAGTAGAGTATAAGCACTCAATAATTTAATTTCAAAACATTATACGTAACCCCTAAGAAGTATTTTGCACATTGTTTCAAGATTTGAATGCAATAATAAAATGGATTCTTATTTGTAAGTTTGTTTAAAAGACCCTTGACCAACTCTCCACTTTTATTTAAAAGATTTTAAATGTTTAAATCAGCCTAACAGACTTATATATGTTCCATCGATGGAAGATACTGAACTAGGTTACTATCGAAATCTCATTACATTCATTATTCTGATTACTTTTAAGTTGTTTTCAATCCAATTTTTACCTTTATTCTTGTTTTGATAGATGTTGCTAAATTTTATTAGTTCATAGATTTTCTAGATTTTATTCTTTGTACAAAATTTCTGCCTTCAAAGAACTTAAAATGAGGAAACATTCACATGTATATGATTCACAAAACTCCAAAGAATTTCAATACAGTGTATCTGTTAATTCTTCGAAATCGGACTCATCTGCACCAATATTTCATGAATGTTTTTCTTCAGTTGAACAGTTGTCTGGACCTGTGTCTAAACTGAACGAAATAATTCAAGACCTTATTGACTATAAAGTAAGATTTGTGAATGGAACATTCTCAGTAGGCTTAATGCTTGATGTGCAGTATGTTTTATTTGGCCAATATTTCAAAAAGTGCTTAATATGTTTTAGTTGCTTTTAAAAATGAAGGATTATTGTTTTATTCAGATCGTATGTTCGAACACCGTTTACCACGACGCGCAATGCTGATTGACCAAACCATCCAGCTCAGAGGACGAAACTCCATCCAAATTATCCATCTGAGCTACAAATATTCTCCACCAGCTCAATATTCATTCTATCAGATGCATATTATTTCATGATTCCTTTCAAAATCACTGTAAATTAGTTGTTAGCAAAATTCCGTTTATCGGATATTACAAGTTATGTAGAATTACTAAGATTCTTTTACATTTAACCGTTGAAGTGTGGACTCAAATATGAATCCTTACAAATTCAATTAGGTTATTTGATTTAAGTTGTAAGGTTTTTAAATTACCTTGTTGATATTCTTGGTTAAATTCTGATCAATTTTAGTTTGGCAGTTGAATGTATACGATGCGGATTCCCTCAACTTAACCATCATGTTACACGTTTTACATAAAATAAATGGAATATGGTTAGTAGCGAAATTCAGCAGGTAAGCGAAGTTCTATTTTGGACACTTCAAGTGGATTTATCTGCATCCTAGAGTTGATGTTCTTACCAGGTCTTGAACGCAGTATCTTCCGCAGGTATGTTTAACTAGCGCGTCCGAAACACGACAAAACCTGAGTCCTTAATTCCAATGCAAGTAGAAAATCTATTCCATGGAAATTACGTTAATTATTTTTTAGTGACTCGTTTAAAAGCTTAGTGTAGTTAATCTATTTTTAATATATACAATTGGGGCCAATTTATTCGACATGAAACTCAGACTATTGCGTTTAGTTTATATGCGAATAGGTATTTTTCACACAGGGCCTATTTTTTATATTATCACTAGGTATATATTGTTTTTACTATATTTTGTCATTACAAAGAACGATGCTGAATTTGCGGCTATGACTGCTTCAGATTTGGCTAAACGTCTTCGCTCTAACATATCTGCCGATGAGGCATTTCAAGTTGTATCATATATCCATAAATTTGCACGTTATCAAGCTGCGCGTTGTGGATTGGTGAATTGTTCTGAGGTATGTTGAAAACTTGTGTTTATGAAGAAAATCAGGTTCTTTGCATTAATTTCTTCCACTATGAACTTTCTTCGAGGAATCCAATGGTTGAATGTTTTCTTGTTTAAAACTTATTGTTTAATTGTGTTTCTAATAAGATTCAAATCTGTTCTCCATAACTTCCACTGTGACTGCTACATTGATATGGTGATCGTTTTAACATATCATAATGACTCAGTTGAGCTGTATTGTTTGAAATATCCATCTTCTTCGGTCATCCCATGCCAAGAGAGCCGATTGGAAACTGGTAACACTTAAAGTAGCAAACCTATGGTCCTAGGGTGAAGCTGTATTGTTGAGGGTACAGGGCCACAGCAGCAGTAAAGAGTTTTCCTTAAACAGTTAGCAACAAGAAGTTAGAAAAGGTGGACTCCAGAAATAATTCATCTTTACTTGAACTACGGGTTTCCGTTGTCGACGATAAGATCTTCAAAACTATCCATCAAAAGACCGTTTTTAAAAAGCTCCAAGGAGTTGTCACTTGGATTCTGCGGTCATGCTCTAAAGTAGCCAAGACCTTACCTTAGTTAGTTTTCTGTTTAAGTCCCTCAAGAAAAACCAACCTCCCACTAAGTTGCGACAACCGGGAATTTGCAAATACCCTCATACCTCCAAAAATACTAATTGCTTTTAATGATTAAATATCATTCATTAGTTAATCGAGTTAAGGTATTCACAAAGAGGCTAGTAAATTGTTTGTGTTATAAGGGCAATGGATTTCGATCTTTTTTATTTACCTAGATTTTTTATTAAATGATAAGTCTATTTACTATGGTTGGCAACGATTATTCCATCACACCTATATAATAGGAGTATTTATAGACTAATCCCACATTTCTCGAGAACATAAATCTACTTTTCCAATACTCAAAAGAAGTTGTGTGATTTAGCAATCACCTTCTACAACTTTGTTGGTAGGTTCTTAGCATACGATATCATTGTATTAGGAACATATAGGTTAAGAAATTCATCCCATTTTGCTGACCGACTAAATAGTAACAATGTTACTGGTAAGTCCATGTTCAATAACCTAATCAAAGGTCGATAAGGACTCGTTACATGTTACCATCAACTGTGTTTATAAATTTACGAGTACTCTGCCAAACCAGCTATATTGACCCGACACAAAGAAGGGCATATCTTAGATCTTTTGAATATGTTCCGGAAAATCTTCGAACAAGAAAGAGTACTATTTTAATTTTAAACAACTCAATTACAAAATATCTCATATATGCGGAACACCAGGTCGATATCCTGGAATCCTGATCAATAAACAGACAAGCTCCAGTATTCTGAAGCCTGATTTATGTGTTCAAAAGGAGATGGCTTCTAGTCTTTCTTTGCCTTGGTGACAAATATTCTTTAATTACACTATAAAATTCTGTTCAGTTCCTTTTTTAGTTAGTTACGTGATTAAATCTTTTTATTTCGACTATCTTCTAGATTAATAATCTTATTTTAGTCAACTAAACTTGTTATCAGCGTTTACTCGTTACGTAACCATTTGTCTCTAAGACTTTGATACTAACAATATTATAGAGTGCCTTTTTATATAAAGTTTATATTTACAATATCTCATTCAGTCTATTAAGTTTATCGTCACCCTTGCTCTGCTATATTGATGTGTTTTCAACATAGCTTCCAACTAAACACTTTCATGTAAGTGATTTAAACCCATTTTGTAATTATATTCTTAAATATCACAGGTTGTAAACAACCGACAAGAACAAAACGAAATGAAGTGAGTTTATACTATTCTGCTCAAATCTTTGTTCCCGCTCTCTTCAAGATGATAAAGGAAATCATGTTTATTAAACTTGACCTGTTATACACGTCCAATCTGTATCATTCACTTTGAGGCGACGCAAGCTAAAGTCTTATTTATCCGTTATCTGGAATCCCTTCTACATCTCCTACTTTGAGTCTAGAGAGAAACTAGCCTCTGTTATACTCATATTTCAGGCATACATAGGGTTTATATATAGACATATTGAACCACATCACTTCATAATTTGAAAAACGACAACTACACATAAACGGGCCAAAAGTGACTATGAATAGGTGGTCAAGCTCTAACTGGCAACAACTTGGGAAATATTAAGTCGTATAACAATAGTTAATGAATTAAACGAAAGCTTATGGTAAACGGTATATGTAGACTTAATAATTTAGATTGCTCAGTAATTATGCAACAAAATTATAAGTAATAATAACTCATGGCAATCAGTTCCGAAAGTTTCAGTTCTTACAATCATCATCCCATTATAACAATATTATCAGTATGGGGTTGTGGAGATTAGTGACTTTTTGATTGAGATCGTGAACCGATTGATGTTCGACCGCCATTGAAAACCTGGAAGCACTAGAAGGCCGTTTTGTCCCACTGTGGGACTCCTCAGCGGTGCGCATTCACGATCCCTCTCGCACGATTCGAACCCAGGGCCTTCAGTCTCGTGTGTGAACGCTTAACTTCTAGACCATAGTATTATTCTACTTACTTTTCAATTCAACATTTATACGGGTTTATCATACACTATTATTGCCTTACATGTAATTTAGTGTTTTTCATGTATAAGTCCAGTAGTTTATAGACAGTGTTACTGCAATAAATGATATGATTAAACTCTACTTGACAACAGTTTTTATCATAAACCATTGTCAAGTAAGTGGCCAGTAGAAACTGGGTAGTATCGAATAGATATTTCATTCTTGTTTGGTACTGTTCATCAGCAGTTTACACACGTTATTTCATGTATAAAGTTTAACTTGAGGCGTTTCAGGTATTTGTGATAGGCACAATATCATTGAACCGCTAAGTCATTAGTTCATATTTAGATCCAAATTTTTTACCAAACTAGAATAAAACACTTCTTCAATATAATCACAATTGATTGATCACTGAGTGGTGATAAATGTCATATGTGTGTCAAGTCCTTATTTAGTGCAGATAGAATGCTATCGACCATGTTGCAATGTGGCCACCAGTCTGGGTGACCCGACACTGCGTGCACTACATATTGAAATTAGATGGTGGTTGAAGGTAGTCGACAGGAAACCCTGGACCCGGGTTTCGTGCTACTTGACACTCGTCAGCAAGGTGTACCTGTAATCTTGAGGAAACTGATGCTCCCTGGCAGATTCGGTCTCATCTAGTCAGTCAGTCAGTAACAACGTAGAACTTCGTACGTACGTACATTAGTTGGAGTTGCCACACCACCTTAGCACAGAGATGCACTTGTCGATTCAAATCCCGTAGTGGTAGAGGTAATAAGAATATAAGCAGTAATCGGGAAGATTAGGGTTTGTAGATGTTATTTAAAGGGTATAATCCAGTGAAAGAAATTTGGAAAGAGGAAAAAAGGGACATGAAGAATTCAGAAGATTAGAATTTGGGAGAGCACAAAGAGTGGATGCATTTGCGCCATTGCAAACGATTTTGAGCCATGTCATTCAAGGTCTCTTATCATCGGTTGCTGTCATCTCGCGGTCCCCAACCAGGTAGTCTACACCTACCAACATGACTCAGTCTACTTGTCAGTGACTTCATGGATTTGTGCCATGTTTTGGTTTGGCCGCCCCTAGCTTTCTTCCAACCTACTCCTATACCACTGAACATAGCACGTCGAGGCAGTCGGTCGTAGGGCATACGTAACACGTGTCCCAGCCATCTCAACTGATGAAGTTTCACTACTTCATCAATGGATTTGCCATCTTTACCTAGTACCCGTTTCCTAACAACTGTGTTACTTACTCGATGGTCCCATGATATACGAGCAATGTTTCGAAGACACCTATGATCAAATACTAGTAACCTACGGATATCCTCTACTCTTACCGACCATGTTTCACTGCCATAAAGTAGGACGGAACGAACTGCTGCGCAGTAAACACGTCCTTTGGTTGATAGACGGATATCTCGCCTACGCCATAAATGACGCAAGTTGGCAAAAGCTAGTCGAGCCTTCTGTATCCGTGCTGAGATTTCGTCACACACCAAACCACAAGGGCTGATGAGACTTCCAAGATAAGTGAAGCGGTCGACACACTCAACTACTTCACTCCCTATCACTAGTTCGGGTGTCGATGTAACCCAATCCTGAAGCAACATTTTGCATTTCGAGGGAGAGAATCGCATCCCGAACATGCTTGCATTGTTGCTTAGAGTGGTCAGAAGACTCTGCATTTTGTCAGCGTCTTCACCAAATAAAACTATGTCATCAGCATATTCTAAGTCAACAAGTGAACCTCCTGGTAGAAGTTCAACCCCTGTATATTTAGATGAGGAGAGTGTTATCTCTAAAAGTACGTCAATGACAAAGTTGAACAAGAATGGGGAGAGTGGACAGCCCTGACGAACACCACTTGAGGTGATCAATTCTGATGACAGTTCGCCATAAGCTCTCACTCTACCAGTTGTGTTCGAGTAGAGAGCCTTTATAAGGTTAATGTACTTCTTTGGTACTCCTTTCAGTGACAAACACTGCCATAGAACCTCACGATCAATAGAGTCGAATGCCGCCTTAAGGTCATCTAATCTCAATATATAGTGCCAGCAGTGTCGAGTCACCTAGACTGGTAGCCATATTGCAAAATGATCGATAGCATTCGACCTGCACTAAGTAAGGACTTGACACACATGCCATTGATCACCACCCAGTGATCAATCAATTGTGATCACATCTCAGTCCTACAGGAGGTCAGTCGCGGCCCAGATAGCTCAGTGGTAACGTCTCTGACTGTGAAGCTGGGTGACGCGGGATCGAATACTCCAGAGAGCACCAGTTCCTTCAAGATTACAGGTACACCTTGCTGAAGAGTGTCAAGTAGCACGAAACCCGGGTCTAGGGTTTCCTGTCGACTACCTCCAACCACCATCTAACTTCTTCGATGTGTTTTCTGATTTTTAGAGATTCCTTAGATGAGATATCAATCAGTGATGAAAATGATCTTGAACTTGGCTTAATCTCCATACATGACAACCTTTACTAAATATGTATTTCTACTATTTAATTCCTTTTATATAGTTCGTTCAAATTGCTGCTTCCATTAACCAGTATAACTACAATTATTCAATGTCCAAATATCTTTTCTTTTATAGCTTGTTCGAGCTATTATTCACATTCTTCAGACAACTAAGAATGTTGACCTACAATCTGAAGCTGCATTGACACTTCAATTGTTAACTAAAGCTTTAACTGGTGCTAAATTAGCCTGTGAAGAGATTGGTATTCCACAATTAGTTGAAATGTTAAGGTAGGGATTTTCTTAAGGATATATTTTATTCGATTCACTTGGTGTTGTTGTTTACTTGGATCTTCCCATTGTTATTGAGGACTGTAAATGATCAGTCTCATATTGGCATATGTACATCCTGTGCGGATCCCTTCAATATAGCCTTAAGTCACAAGCCTTTTTAGTAAATATGGATAGTAGCTAGTAGTGGGATCCAGGATGCGTGTTTCATTCTATTTGGGACTCTTCAACTGGACGTACCTCCACCCCAGGCTATATCGAGGCAATCCGCACAGAATGTAAATATGCCAACATGAGACTGATCAATTGCAGTCCTAAATAACAATAGGAAGATACAAGTAAAACAACATCAAGAGTATTTAAAATTCACCTCATTGCGCAAGCAAGTGGCTATCAGGACTCAGTAGCTAAGTGGATAACGCGATGGCGTTTCAAGCGAACGGTACTGGGTTTGGAGTCCCGGAGTGAACATCACCTCTGCGATGCAGGTACATCCAGATGACGAGTCCAAAATAGGACAAAACGCGCGTCCTGGATTCGACTACTAGCCCCTATCCATCCTTGCTTATATTTTATTAGACCAACATAAACATTTTTGATTTGATCTGAAATAGTTGTCATCATAAAGGCTTATAGCTGCCATATTATTTCTATTGACCTTCGTTTTATTACGCGAAATATACGGTTGAACCAGTTTGTTGTTATTAATTCCCTGTATTTCACATTGTCTTCGTCAACTTAATCCTTGTATTTCGACTAGTAGAATCCATTCATTAACACTGTGTATAGATTAGTGAGAGACACCTTCACAAGACCTGCAAATCTTCTATTCAGTTCTTGAGGGATTAATGACATAGGTAATGTTAAACGAGAGTCCTATACTAGGACAATGTAATTGTCTAATACTTCTTGGTTTTCAATATTTTTCTAACTTAGATTAATTTATAATGTGAATGATGATATTCACGCACTAGAATCGTTGGCCATGATGATACTTAATAAAAAAGTCATTAGAGGAAGTTTAGAGTTGAAAGCCTACATCGGAGGAATATTAGGAATTGAAGAGGGAGATTGATTATGAATATAGTCGTCTTGAGTGCTGTTAGAAGTATGATGGCGGTCTTCACTTCCCGGTTGCCCACACTGTGGAAGGGTTCTTCTAGAGGTACCTGGAAAGGTAATTGGATTGGAGATGGTCTTAGTGACCACACTACCCAAGGGGCAACTGCTTGCGGCCGGTCACACACGACCGTTTTATTATAATTTTCTTGTTAGCTCCGTACTTGTTCGGACCTCACCACCGGAGACGTAAATCTGTGGGATAAGGCGAGGTGTGCATTTTTAGGGTCGACCTTTTCAAACCCCACTCTTTCTTTGCGGGAAAGCAGCATCGTTGACATGCTGGTTGTATCAGAGAAACACGTTACTCCCGTCACAGCTCTGTAAAGTCAGCGGTACGACTTCGCCGTCGGACCTTGGGTCTGCTGCTTTTAGTCTTGTCGCTCTACAACCAACCTGCTTGACATGACAGGACACTGAGCCCAACTGTTTCATCATAATAGGCAAGACCGACCACCACGTCAAGGTAGCAGCAAGGCTGGTGATAATCAGATATAATAAAAAATTATGATTGAGTAGTATATGTTATTTTGAATAGTTAATTAAAATTGTATCATTTCATACTATTTATTTATTTAAACATATAAACATTGGCATAAGGAGGCACCAAATTGATATGCGCCACACAATAACAATCAGGCCAGTAGCAGTAATCATTGATTTGTGCGAGTGCTGGGTTGCTGACCGGCTGCCCAGACTTAAACAGGTGGTTTTCTTAGGAGGTCACACCCGGAGCCTTCAACCTAAAGACCTGATCCACAAGGCAGTGGAGCAACGTAAGGAGATGCAGTCCCATGGTAGTCGGTGACCAACGATTGGTCCATACGCCATTTGTTCCCTCAGGATCCTGGAATCCACGTGCACCATTGATTTGGAATGAGGGTTTTTCAACTCCCCTTGGTAGACCCTCCGTATCCACCAACCCTGTCAAAGTTCCGGACATTCTCTTTTCGTCCTCGCAATTTCGTAAACAAAAGTAATGTCGCGAGAAGGCAGTGAGTAAGCCCTCCCTGGCAGTGGTTGTATGCACGTAGCCATGTGAAAGCATTTCGAGAGAGAGAGATGGCTCTCCCCACCTTCCACCGTACCAGGGCATTTTGGGGATATGTTTAGTTTAATTTATATCTAAATGTTACATTTAATTAGGTGGTGTATAAAAAAACGTAAAATTAATTTCGTACAAGAAAAGAATAGCCGTCTAGTACTTTTAGGTTTTCAGTGGTGATCTAACCCAGATCGACTCATGAATTCAACTGTTAAAATATTCATAGTTTATTCTTTGATCGACTTTTTAATTATGCGACATAAATTATTTTCATCAGTAGTATCTAATTATGAAAAAGAAATATCTCATTTTCGATCGATTATTGAATACGTCTGTGGATATATATAAGGATATGTTCCAGTGTCTGTAATTGAAGATGTATTGTGAACTAATAATGAAATATGTGATATGAAGAAGATGGTCGTTTCAATGTAATTTACCTACCGATTCAAAGACAAATGGATCCGCTGTTATAGTATGCCTTATTTGATTAAAGTAGATGTAATAAATGAATCCGTTAAATAAGCAGAATGACAGATAGATAAACTTATCCGGCATACCCTATTTTCCCCAAAATGCCTTGGTACGGCCGAGAGTGGGGAGAGTCAGCTCTTCCTCTCTTGAAATGCTCTTGCATGGCCACACATGTACAGCCACTGTCAGGGAAATCCTACTTACTGCCTTCTCACGGCATTACTGTTGTTTACGAAATTGAGAGGATGAAAAGCGAATGCCCTGAACTTTAACCGGGTTGATGGATATGGAGGATCAACCTAAGGGAGGTGGAAAACTCTGATCACAAATAGCGCACTAATTAATCGTTGGTGACCGGCTATCATGGGACTGCATCTTCTGACTTTTCTCCACTGCCTTGTGGATTAGATCTTTAGGTCGAAGGCCCCGATTGTGGCTCCCTAAGAACACCACCTGCTTAGATCTCAACACCCTGACGGTAAATAAATTCAAATGAGTTCCTTACTAATTTAACAATAAACAAACATCTTAAGTATATGAAAGTGGATTATTTAAACATACTATCTTTGTTTTTTTTCCTCATTCCAACTTTAAGGCATCCATCCGAAGTGATGTATACAACTGCTCTTTATGTATTAAATCAATTATTATGGCATTTACCAAATTATTCACGTCCAGAATTTCGACAATGTAATGGTCAACTAAATCTTATTTATTTACTTGAAGCAAATCGTTTGGATGATTCAAATTGGTTATTAATTTGTTTAGATACATTACGTATGGCAGTTTATGAAAGTAGTGAAACAAAGGTAGATATTAGTTATAGATTGTTATTATTGTTATTGTCCTCTTAATAAGTATTATTCGTAGTAGTGTAGTGAACAAGAACATGAGTGGGGGGACAATCGAATGTATTTGAAGACGAAATTACAGAATATCTCATTAAAATCTAAGAATCATACAGTAAATACTTAGTTTGCAGGATATCAACCCATCGTCTCGAACTTGACTGTTCCTTTTGCAGATTTCAGTCGATCGTCTCAGATTTTATTGTTCTTGCATTGTCATACCAATTACCTTCCGTTTCCATTCTTTCCTTCTCGATTTTCTATTGAAATACATTCTATTCGTGACCGTCGTTATATTATACTACTTATATGGATATAAGAAGCTCACACAAGATTAGTAGTATAGTTTACCTTTTATAGTTGACTAATTTCGAATTACCATCAGTTGGATCCATTCAATGAGTTTGTTTAATGAAAACTGTGTTTGATAACAATTCGAATGTATCACTCTTATTCATTTCAAAATAATTTCTATTTGTGAGATAATCCATTTTGTAGCATCAACAATTTTGTTGTTCTAAACAACTTTAAAACTTGTCGAAATTGTACTCTTAAGTTGACTTGTTGTTTTATCGGTATAAAATTGTGGAGAATACGAAGTTTTTTATTGAGATCATGGACCGGTTAATGTTAGACCACCATCGAAAACCTGGAAGCATTGGATGGCCGTTTCGTCCCATTGTGGGACTCCTCAGCAGTGCGCATTCACGATCCCGCCCGTGGGATTCTAGCCCAGGGCCTTTAGTCTCGCTGGATCAGTGGTCTAGTGGTTAAGTGCTCGCACGCGATACCAGAAGGCCCTGGGTTCGAATCCCCTCGGTAGGATTGTGGATGCGCACTTCTGAGAAGTCCCACAATAGGACAAAACAGCCGTCCAGTGCTTCCAGGTTTTCCATAGTGGTCTAGCTTCAATTGACTCATGATCTCAACTACTAAAAAAAGAGCTTTTTAAATACCTTCATTGTAGCGTCCTCATTAGAAGCATTCAACAAGTTTGTCAGTGTTGTTTATCCGGATTTCACCAATAATTTTGTATCTAAATTTACACTTTGAATAAACTATGTCAGTACAAATGTATGCCTAAAGGATTTTAGTCCACAGGCTGCATTAAACAAATCGGTAAGTTTAAATAGAAGAGACTATGTTTACAAGATAGTTATATGCAACAAAGGGAACTTATAAGTCATTTAATAGAAAATACAGACAGTTTAGCAAAGAAAGTTCTCTCATTTCAACAATATTATTCACAGAAAGCTGTACAATTGTATCTATAGTGACTGAACGTATGAAGTACTTTTTAGGAAGATGGAGAAAGTGAATTACATCATAAAACATTCCAAAACGTTTTGTGTTTAAAGTGAATGACCTAACAATCGACAAGTTAAAGGAAATTAATAGAGATGATCTGGCTCTTCTATCGCACATGCAACAACAAATGCAGAAGTAGACGACCAGTGTAGCAGCAGCAGTAGGTCTCAATATACGCAAAGGGAAAAGCAGGATTCTCCTATACAACACAGAATTCACCAATCCAATCACAATTGACGGAGAAGATTTGGAAGATGTAAAAACCTTTACGTATCTAAGTAGCATCATTGATAAACAAGGTGGATCTGATGCAGATGTGAAGGCACGGGTCGACAAAGCAAGAGCAGCATATCTACAACTGAAGAACTTCTGGAACTGGAAACAATTGTCAACCAACACCAATGTCAGAATTTTCAATGCAAATGTTAAGACAGTTCTACTGTATGGGGTGGAAACTTGGAGAACTACGAAAGCCATCATTCAGAAGATACAAGTGTTTATTAGCAGCTCTCTATGCAAAATACTTCGGATCCGTCGGCCAGGCACTATCAGAAACAACCTACTATGGGAGAGAACAAACCACATCCCAGTGGAGGAGGAAATCAGAAAGAAGTGCTGGAAGGGGTAGAACACACATTGAGGAAAGCACCAAACTGTGTCACAAGGCATATATATCAAAAAAAGTAATAAGAAGTCAACTGAAAAAACTGAAAGGGTGATACTAAAGTAGTAAAGATACACAACTCCGGGTAATAAATCACTGATGCCAGGTTAAGTTCAGGGTGAGAAAAACTTTTGATACCTGATTAAGGATAATCATCTTTTTTTGAATCTTCAATAAAAGTGTGCTACCCAGCGTTTACAATCATTTTTCGTTCACGTTTAGTTTGTGACTGTTGAATATAAGAGTATCAATTTCCATTGGGGACTTGATTTTAATTATCTTAAGCTATCTGTAGGCCCACAGACAGTCATCACAAACATAGAGAATCTAGCATGAATGTGTATTAATTCCGTCATGATACTTACCCGTTTATCTATTCACTTGATCGAATCACAAGGTCATCGAGTCTACTAATTATGAGTTCGTTTTAAACCTATCAAATTACTACTGACCTTCGTTTTGACCAATAACATAATGACTACGAAATCTGACATTTTATTGAACCAATCAGCTTTTAATATCCCCAACAACCAATCAGAAGATAAACATATCAAGCTAACACTGATTACATAGCATCATAAAAAATAAACTGTGATTTATAAATTATCAAGTTATGAGTAGTATAAAACCGGTTACTAGGTGAATAATGATAAATTAGTGATAAGCCATAACAATAATCAATAAGTTCAATGGAAGGTTAAAATTACAAACCAATTGATTAATAATTAGACAGTAAAATAGGCTTTATAATTTGCCATGTTATTGTTTGATAGTTTCATCTTCTTGAAACATTCACTCTAGTCTGACAAGTTTAAGTTACTACATCACTTATGATCAATACAGGAAATAATAAAGGAAAGTAAGACGATGATCAACAATTGAGAGAGAGAGAGAGAGAGGGAGAGTAGCATCAACATCAAATATAATTGTGAAAAGAAATGAATGCGATCAAATAGATCGAAAGTTTACATCGACATAACTCACACCAACAGTCATTGATTTCATGAATTCATAACATGTTTTTGATTGATCACTTTGTAGTGACCAGTATCATATTTATATAATCCTTTTTAATGCTGATCGATTTCTATTGATTAACTTACAATCCGGTCACTGGTCTAAGTGACTTGACATTGTACATTCTATAATGAGATGTTAATTATTTGGAGATAACCAATAAGGAATTCGGTTTGACTTACGTTTTGTGTTACCACGTACTCGTCAACATAGTGTATCCACAACGTCAATGGAGCAGTCGCTCCCTAATGGATTTGAAGTAACATAACCCAAGCCAACAATGTGAGACGTTACCACTCGATTATTCAGGCAATGACTGACCTTCTATAGGACTGAGATATTTACAACTGATTAATCACAGAGTGCTAGTGACCAGGATCATGTTTATCTATCTATCTATCTATCTATTATTAGTGGCTTTATTCAATATTATATTTTTGGTAAAATATAGAATTCTCAGCACAAAGTATTTTAACAAGTTTCCTTTTCTTATTTCTTGGTCGACCCTTGCGATAAATATTGAGTGGTCGCCAGTTAGATGTTAACAGTCCATAAATCGACATCTAGTTAATGTATATTCTTTTTGATGCATATTGCCAGCCACCACAATGTTTCTCATTGAGCTCTTTTGTAACTTGTACAGCGAAATATCGTAAATGTTTCACAAACCCACCTGAATAGGTTATGCGATTCATAGACATAATGATGTATTAGTGCTAGTGAGAAGCCGTTACCAATGGAGTTCAACCAGGTCTGTTGTGAGATATCAGCACACTGAAGAAAATGGTGTGCGGTGGCGCAACTTCATGGATTGGTTGAAGTTAGACATTAACACTGTTGGATGCCGAATCAGTGGTCTAGTTGGTTAAGCGCTTGGCGCGAGACTGATAGGTCCTGGATTCGAATCCCGCGGGATGTGGGATCGTGGATGCGCAGTTCTGAGGAGTCCCATACTAGGGCGAAACGGCCGTCCAGTGCTTCCAGGTTTTCCATGGTGGTCTAGCTTCAATCGACTCATGATTTCAATCTGTGAAATGATGTATTAAAACAAACATTTAAAAAAACAGATAATTTATTGAAATATCTAGATGGCAAGGGACAGGTAGCCCCGATATTCAAGCAGGCCGCCTTGGTCGTACTTTTTAATACTTATCAAATGTTGTCGATCATCAATGATAAGTAGCATATGATTTAGGTATAGGGTTTCTTGTTGACTTACATTAGCTACTACATAACACTATTTATAATTATTTGATACTCTATTATTATCAATATTGTTGTTTTCTATGTTAAAGCTTTCCATTACATCAACTAATATCTATCAAATTATTGTACATCTTTTGAGAACATATCCAACTAATATGAAAATAGCTTATAATATAGCAAGATTAATCAAAGTTTTAAGTGTATGCAATGAAAATAAACTAAAATTAGTTGAAGCTGGCACTGTAGAGGTAAGTTCCCGTTTTACAAAATTGAAAAACAAACAAACAAACTATCATTATTACTATTCACAAGTATTGAATATTGCATGTTCGAATCGAAGAATAGTTTAGTATTCATTTAATGTATATTGGTCACCGGCTACCATGGGACTGCATCTCCTCACGATGCTCCATTGCCTTGTGAGTCAGACATTTAGGTCCAAGGATCTGGGTGTCGCTCCCTAAGATAACCACTTGTTTCGGTCTTGGCATCCGGGCAGAACCCCAGCCCTTACAAAAATCGAATGATTTATGTGGTGCATATCTATTTGGTGCCTCCTTATACCAATGCTTATGTGTTTAAATATATAAGTAAATACTATTTTGAGAATAGTGATAATCAATTTATGAATTATATTCTGGTACGGTCGATAGTGAGGAGAGTCCACTCATTCTCTCACGAAATGCTTTCATATAGCTTTGCCTATATAGCCACTATCATGGAAAGCGTACTCACAACCTTCTCACAACAAGATGTTTTGTTCACGAGGTTGAGAGAACTAAAATCGAATGTTTGGAGCTTTAACCGGGTTATTGGATATGGAGGGTCCACCTAGAGGAGTTAGAAAAACCTTCATTCCAAACCAATGGTGCATACGGGCTGCAGAAAGTTGAGAGAACAGAAGGTGTATTAACCTATTGTCGGTGACCGGTTACCATGGAACCGCATCTCCTGAAGCTGATCCTCTGCCCTGTAGATCAGACATCTAGGTCACAGGCGTCGGGTGTGGCTCCCTAAGAAAACCATCTGTTTCGGTCTAGGCACCCGGGCAGTATGACAGCCCACACACAAATCAACTGACTTGTATGGCGCACATGTATTCGGTGCCCCCTTGTACAAATATTTATTTGTTCAAATAAATAATAAATAAAATAACAGGTAGGTGTACTTTTAATCTTAAAGATACTGTACTGACTAGCGGACTCGACCCCGTCTTACTCCAGTTTCACAGTGTGATACGGTAGCACTTGGCTATTCGGTATCTATTGACCTCCTATACCTCATTTGTAACATCTTCAACTATAAAGCTGATTAATGTGAGTTTAAACCTACTAAGGAGTATCAATTCTCTCAAAATTATAAGCACAATCTTCTGTTTTAGTTTTAGCATTCCCCATCGATTACTTTCAATCATCTTAACACAATATACACTATCTCAAATCATTTAAACTCGTGTTCATCCTGTGATTTGATCGACAGAATTCATTCAAATTAAAGGGACTAAACAAACACTACATTGATCACTATTTAATGATTAATCAATTGTTGACATTGATATTGAAAGTGTGTCGTTAGGAGGAGAATACCTTCAATTCAATTCAATTCATAATCAAATCTTAATCTTTTCCCATTTTATTGTATTATTATTTTAAATTTTAGGCATTAACTCCATTATTAAATTGTACTAATGAAATATTACAATTAGAAACATTATGGGGATTACGTAATATTAGTGATCAAGCTTATCATTTATTGGCTACAAAAAATCTGATCCCAATATTGATTAATTTATTAGCTAGTAAAAATGAACATATCTCTATTTGTTCCGCTGGTTGTTTATGTAATTTAACTTGTCAAAATGTACAAAATAAAAGTTTACTTGTTGAAAAAGGTAAAATCCGTTTTTTTTTATTTTTTATTTTTAATGATTCCATTTCATATACATCGAATTCCCTTTTTAATCATTTTGAAAAGAGTAAGAACTAAAAGATTCCTCGCAGCAGAATAGCGTGCATTCATTTGTATTTCGTCTGGTTCTCGTCAGTTGGTCAGTTGGCCCCTAAATGCCCTGGTATGGCCGAGAGTGGGGCGGGCCCGCCCTCCCTCTCGAAATACTCTCACACGGCCACTCGTATACAGCCTCTGCCAGGGAATTCCTACTCACTGCCTTCTCGTGGCGGGGGTGTTGTTGACAAAAATGAGAGGATGAAAAGCGAATATCCGGCGCTTTAGCCGGATCCCAAGTCAATGGTGCACATGGGCTCCAGTATCCTGCGGGAACGAATGGAGTATGAACCAATTATTGGTCACCGGCTACCATGTGACTGCATCTCCTTACGATGCTCCACTGCCTTGTGGGTTAGACCTTTAAGTCAAAGGATTGGGGTGTGGCCCCCTAATTAAACCACCTGTTTTGTTTTGGGCGCCCGTGCAGTATCACAGCCCTCACACATATCGAATGAGATTTGTGTGGCGCATATATATTTGGTGCCCTCTTTGTACCAATATCTATGTGTTAAAATAAAATAAATAAAAAATTTGGTTACAACCTGTGATAATTAAAAAAAAATCATCATTACATAATGGGTTTAAATGACTTACATGAAAGGGTTTGATTGGAAGTTCTATCGAAGACATATTCGTATAGTATAGCAAGGGTGTAAATAAATTGTATAGACTGAATATTGTAAATATAACCTTTATTCAAAAGATTATTTTATAACATTGATTTTAACAACAGTTGGAACAGCCAGAAACAAGTGATTACATAATGAGTAGGAATATAGTGAAGGAATATTTGTCACCAAGGTAAGGAAAGATTAATAACCGTCAGGTTTATGACGTCTGATGGCAACGGCTTCAGTAAACTTCAAAAGACTGAAGTTTGGCTGCTTACTAATCATCTTGAAGGATTGCAATGTATATATTTACAATATTCAGTCTATTATATTTATTTATACCCTTGCTATACTATACGAATATGTCTTCAATATGACCTTCCAACCAAACCCTTTCATGTAAGTCATTTAAATCCATAATGTAATGATGATGTTTTTAAAGATCACAGATTGTAAACAACTGACGAGAACCAGACGAAATATAAATGAATGCATACTATTCTGCTGCTAGGAATCTTTTAATTCTCACTCTTTTCAAACTTATTCAATTGATTTACTTCTGGTACAGTTATATAACAATAAAATGAAAATGATTTCTCTCTGTTACAATATGAAAAACGTTGCTATTCTACGACTTGGGTACGAGATTAGGCAATCACTAGACCTGGATACACTGAATACATAATTTTCGAATAAAAAATCGACAATCAGGAAAGTAGTTTATTTAACACAATACAATCAGTATGTACATAATGATAGAGAAATAATTGCAATATTAATGGTGTTTCATATTTGACATGGCTGAGTGATTTGTTTATTTAAACACATAAACATTGGTACAAGGAGGCACTAAATATATTCGCGTCACAAATCATTTGATTTGTGTGAAGGCTGATGTACTGCCCGAACGCCAAAACCTAAGCAAGTGCTTTTCTTATGGGGCCACACTCTGAGCGTTTGATTTAGAGGTCTAGTCCACAATGCAGTAGAGCAACGTCAAGAGATACAGTCCCATGGTAGCTGGTGAATAACAATACGTTTATACGCTTTTTGTTCTCTCAGGTTCTTGGAGCCCATGTGTACCATTGGTTTGGAATGAAGGTTTTCCAACTTCCCTAGGTGGATACCCTATATCCAACAACCTGGTGAAAACTTCGAACACTCACTTTTCATCCTCTCAATTTTGTGAACAAAACCTGTGGTGCGAGAAGGCAGATAGTAAGATTTCCCTGACAATGGCTGTATATGCGTGGGGATGTGAGAGCATATGAAGAGGGATAAATGACTCTACTCAACCCCGGCTGTACCAGGGCATTTAGGGGCAACATGACATGTCATACAGATTAATGTACGTTGCTTCTCGAACCACACTCTAAATATGACCAGGCTAGTGTGGGATACTAACCCCATTGCTTAAACCAAATTAGGTAGGACAGATTTCGAACCTGTGACTTAGTAAATGAAAGTCGAGAGTCTCGATCATTAAGCAACTGTTGTACTTTATTTCTAATTATTGTTTATTGTTTTCTTTCTATTAAATTGAAGATATACACCTTTTTATTGAATATCCAATACTCAGTGAATAGTCTATTAAAAGGCACTCTACTCATAGTTATTCTTTATACAAATCAAAATACTAATGTTATTATGATTCTTATTGTTAATTACAAAATGGTAATAACAATCGAGTTTTGTACTATTGATTTATTTTAGTTCCATGAATGTCCTCAATGAGGTTGTATATTAATCAGTTAGACAGTTAAATGTAAAAAATATAAACTCTTGGGGTGTTATAATTTGATATTTCCCCTTTATAGTTCCGAGTAATCTTTAACAATCCTTTATATCAGAAGGGGTTTTGTGGAGATTTTAGAAATTTCACTGGTTGAAATCACGAGTCAATTGAATCTAGACCACCATGGAAAACCTGGAAGCACTGGACGGCCTAGTATGGGACTCCTCAGCAGTGCGCATCCACGATCCCGCATCCCGCGGGGTTCGAACCCAGGACCTATCAGTCCCGCGCCCGGCGCTTAACCAACTAGACCACTGATCCGGCATCCAATGGTGCTAATATCTAACTTCAACCAATCCACAAAGTTGCACCACCGGACACCATTTTCTTCAGTGAGTTGATATCTCATAACAGACCTGGTTGAACTTCACTGGTAACGGCTTCTCACTAGAACTCCAGGAGTATCTCTTGAAGTCAGTCACTAGTGAGCAGATGATTAATATCAGAAGGGGTTTTGTGGAGATTTTAGAAATTTCACTGGTTCCAGGTTTTCCATGGTGGTCTAGCTTCAATTGACTCATGATTTCAACCAGTGAAATCCTTTATACGACAGAATAATATATAATGATCTGGATCAAAGCATTCTGTTGGATACACCCAGAAAATTCATTGAAGAAAACCAAAAACGACTCTGAAAATGCTGAGAAAATATCTTATCCAATCAGCATTCAATAGAAGTTTTATCAGAAACATTTAGAAACTGAAAAGTCAAATGTCACATTTATGATTGGATAATTACCTATCCTGCTATTAGATTTAGTAGCGTTCCAGAACTTTCCAGAAACCAAAGGCCATCTAAAATGTCATAAATACCCTAGATTTTTTTGTATACGAACGAACCTTTAGAGTAAAGCGTTCTTTCCATATTTTGCACCTTTTCTTTCGTGTTCAAGTTGCTGTGTAGATTTAGTGTAAAGAGCTTAATAAAACTAATCAAGAGTTAAATTGGAAGATTTATCAAAGCTTTGTATTTCAATAGCTGATTTATACTGAAATTACCCACTTATTATGTAGGGATAACTAATCAAATAGGTACGGTGTCTTTAATCCAGATTATTCACGTTAGTATTGACAGATTCCTGTATTATCATTACATTGTCCACATAAGTCGTACGCTTTTACTCGGTTGATCTAAATGTGTTAGACAAACAACACATGCTCATAGCTACATAGATATGTATATGATAACTGTGTTCAATTTAAGGGATAAATGGATCCTTATGTATTTGAATGGATCTAGAATATTTGACTTTTGACTGATCCACTGTACCAATAAGCTATGATTGACTTCCTTGTCCCTTTCATGAACTTCTCTTTACAGAGTTCAACTATAACCTCCCATGAAACTGAACTCATGATCTTCAAAGTCTCACGATAAGCATTTGACATTGTAGTAAAAAGCCTAACAGTCTACACTTTCGAATTTAGTCAATTCAGCATACATAAAGCAACTTTCATGTAGTAATACTACTACTACTATCAATGATAAGTGAATCATTTTCGACATAATTGAGATTAACCGTTACCGGCTTTTCAATTGAATTTCAAAAAGGTTAAGAATTAGTTAGTAATGAGGAGAAAATAGTTGTTCTGTTAGATATTTTTGTATTGATAGTTTTGCCCCCAAATGCCCTGGTATGGCCGAGAGTGGGGCGGGCCCGCCCTCCCTCTCGAAATACTCTCACACGGCCACTCGTATACAGCCTCTGCCAGGGAATTCCTACTCACTGCCTTCTCGTGGCGGGGATGTTGTTTACGAAAATGAGAGGACAAAAAGCGAATGTCCGGTGCTTTAGCCGGATCCCAAACCAATGGTGCACATGGGCTCCAGTATCCTGCGGGAACGAATGGAGTATGAACCAATTGTTGGTCACCGGCTACCATGTGACTGCATCTCCTTACGATGCTCCACTGCCTTGTGGGTTAGACCTTTAAGTCAAAGGATTGGGATGTGGCCCCCTAATTAAACCACCTGTTTTGTTTTGGGCGCCCGTGCAGTATCACAGCCCTCACACATATCGAATGAGATTTGTGTGGCGCATATATATTTGGTGCCCTCTTGTACCAATATTTATGTGTTCAAATAAATAAAAATAAATTGATTGTTTGAATCTTTTTATTGACTTTTAAGACTGCAATGGATCAGCATCTTATCAACATGTATGTATCCTTTGCAGATTGTCTTTATATTACGTTAAGCTACAAACATTATATGCAGAGATGGATTGTAGCTAGCAGTGGGACCTAGGACGTACGTTTCGTCCTAGATAGATGGTTGATACGATGGTGCTTGAAGAGAACAGTACTAGGTTTGAGTCTCACTATAAATATCAACTCTGGGATTCAGTTACATCCAGCTAAAAAAAGCCGAGTCCCAAATAGGATGAAACGCGCATCCTTTATACCACTGTTCAGATGGATAGTTTGCGTAGTTTTTTTTTCTTCTCTATAATGTCGTTGTACTCGAGCCCAGTGGATTAGAAGCATCGTTCCTATTACAAGAACTTGGAGGTAATCAATTTTAGTCTGTATGAAACTATATGTGCTTACTGTTGAAGTGTCCTATTCCGTAATATAAACGATTCTTAGATTGAACTATTCTCTGGTAACTATCTAGAATAAAATGTATACAGTTTGAATCTGAATCGTAGCAACTAATGACACGTTTTTATACCTTTTTCATTATTTATTCATCCAGGTGGTGTAAAAGTGCTCTGTAGACTTTTATGTTTAAATTCAGAACGTCAAGAGATTGCAGAACCAATTTGTTCAGCTTTAAGGCATGTAACTCATCGAAATCCTCATTCTAATTCAGCAATTTATGAGGTAAGTTCTTCCTGTTTCTTCTTTCTCCATGTTATAGTTAACGTCCAATAATCCTAATATACTCCGTATCTTTATTCATTGTCATATGGATGATACATCATTCTTTAAGAAGTCTCAGAATTTAATTCATTTTTGTTACTGGTTGTTTGAATCTTCATATTGATGTTTAAGACTGTAATTGATCAGTCTCTTATTGGCATATCCGTTACGGGTTGCCTCGATGTTGCCTTAAGTCACAAGTATTATAAACAAAGATGAATGATAACTAGCAGTGTAATCTAGAACGCACGTTTCGTCCTATTTGGAACTCATTTTTAGCTGAATGTACGTGTATCCCAGATTTGATGTTTACAGTAGGACTCGAACCCAGTGCCGTTCGTTCATTTAAAATGTTTATTGATTGATTAATATGAAATGATCAACTGATAAGTCCATATGTAATTAAATCAACTAACTTGTTATTCTTATCAACGGTCACTAAATGGAATATATGTGCCAAAAACTGAAGAACTGATTATTTTTTACACTAATTAACCATTAAGTATTAACTTATGTCACGATTGTCTAATCTTCAGTGGTGGTTTAATTCTATCAAACAACTCTAAATAACTTTACATCACAGTCAATAGTAAGCCCTTTCATCAGACTTTGTCCAAGTTATTTCTCATCAATAACATGAATCAATAATAGATTCACTTGGTATTGTTTACTTGAATCTTCTCATTGATGTTTGTGGATTAAAGCAATGTCGAGGCAATACTCACAGTATGCACATATGCCAATAACAGACTGATCAATTTCAGTCTTAAACATCAATGAGAAGATTCAAATAAGCAATACCAATTGAATTTAAACTTCGCCGCATTGCAGAAGCAATTGACTATCAGGACTAAGTAGCTAAGTGGATAACGCGATGGCGTTTGAAGCGAACGGTAGTGGGGTTAAAGTCCCGGAGTGAACATCACGTCTGCGATGCATGTACATCAAGACGACGAGTCCGAAATAGGACGAAACACGCGTCCTGGACTACATTGCTAGCTATTATCCATCTTTTCTTATGAATCAATAATCTTGCAACAATTGATGTTATTTTTGGGATTCAATATGTTACCATCTAGATTGATAGTCAGAAGAGAAGTTACCAACTTAGATCAATCAAATTACATCTTGGTATCAAGTCACTGATATTATTGATATTAATTACTAACCAACAATTAGTTGGTTTAAAAACAGAGTTGGGCAATGACTAGTAGTGGAATCCAGAACGCGCGTTTCGTCCTTTTTGGGACTCGTTTTTTTTACCTGGATGTACCGTCATCCCAAAGTTGATGATCTCTCCAGGATTATTATTACGATTTTTATTATTACAGTTTGTTTGGGGCAGTTATTCGATTAAATGTTAGTTTTTTTTCTCAGATGGAGAAATCTTTACAGAAGGTAGTTTTTCAATCTCTGATCAATACATTTTGAAATACTGTGTTGTGAGCTACTTATATCCACATAAGTAGTATATAACGATGGTCACGAATAGAATGTTTTTCAGTACAAGATCGAGAAGGAAAAAACGAGAACGGGAAGCAATTGGTATAAAAATCCAGGAACAATGAAATCTGAGACGATGAACTGATATTTGCAAAGAGGACAGTCAAGTTTGAGACGATAGATTGATATTTTGCAAATTAACTATTTACTGTTTGGTTCTCAGATTTTAGTGAGATATTCTGTAATTTCGTGTTCAAATACATTCGATTGTCCCCCCCCACACTCATGTTCTTGTTCACTGCAGCACCACTGAGAACTATAAAGTGTTAACGAATCAATCTATCTTCAAAGATATACGCTTCTTGACTATATAGGCGCTTGAATCTTCAGTTAAAGCTCTATCCAAATCAGTCTACAAGACAGATGTTGTTGAACTCTGTTTATTTCCCTCTTTTAAATTAGGTACGTACCAGTGACACTTTGTCAACTATTGCTTCCTTATTCCTGAAATATCAATTTGTATCCGCCTTACCTTTATTAAAATCTGTTGTTGGTCTTATTCGAAATTTATCTACTGTGGAAGTGACACGTCATGAACTTAAGTGAGTTAGTTATGTTTAATTATCTCATTGTAAATAATCAGTGAATAGCTGAATGTTTAATCATGGAGAAAATTTTAATCAAAGCTACTCGTATCTTTATGTTCATAAAGTAGGTCTTGAAGAAATTCTAATTTTGACCATCTGTAAATGATAACATCGTCGATTGGAGATTATTAGCCAACTACTATATAAGTATGAGTTTAAAAGGTTTGAATAATTTCTTTTGCTGGTTAGCGTTTTTTTGGTGAGTTAGTTTTTTCTACAGGATGGGGTCGTTAACGCCATGTCCAACCCTCCTCCTTTATCCGGGCTTGGGACCGGCAGTGGCCCCCGAAGGGACTCCAGGCGGAGTTAGTCAATATCATACGGAATTCCTATGATGGATTAAACTGCGAAATTGTACATGGAGGACAATTGACAGACTCGTTCGAGGTAAAGACCAGTGTCAGGCAAGGTTGCTTACTTTCACCGTTTCTCTTCCTCCTGGTGATCGACTGGATCATGAAGACGTCAACGTGTGAAGGGAAACGCGGTATACAGTGAACATCTAGGATGCAGCTGGACGATCTAGACTTTGCAGATGATCTGGCTCTTCTATCACAAACGCAACAACAAATGCAGGAGGAGACGACCAGTGTAGCAGCAGCCTCAGCAGCAGTAGGTCTCAATATACACAGAGGGAAAAGCAAGATTCTCCGATACAACACAGCATGCACCAATCCAATCACAATTGACGGAGAAGATTTCGAAGATGTAAAAACCTTTACGTATTTGAGCAGCATCATTGATGAACAGGGTGGATCTGATGCAGATTTGAAGGCGCGGATCGATAAGCAAGAGCAGCATATTTACAGCTGAGGAACATCTGGAACTCAAAGCAACTATCAACCAACACCAAGGTCAGAATTTTCAATACAAATTTAAAGTCAGTTCTACTGTATGGGGTGGAAACTTGGAGAACTACGAAAGCCATCATCCAGAAAATACAGGTGTTTATTAACAGTTGTCTACGCAAAATACTTCAGATCAGTTGGCTGGACACTATTAGCAACAGCCTACTATGGGAGAGAACAAACCAGGTCTCAGCAGAGGAAGAAATCAGGAAGAAGCTCTGGAAGTGGGTAGGACACACATTGAGGAAAGCATCCAACTGCGTCACAAGACAAGCCCTCACATGGAATCCTCAAGGCGAAAGGAAAATAGGAAGACCAAAAAACACATTACGCCGGGAAATAGAAATAGACATGAGAAAAATGACCAAGAATTGGGTGGAAATGGAAAAGAATGCCCATGACAGAGTGGGTTGGAGAATGCTGGTCGGCGGCCTATGCTCCATTGGGAGTAACAGGCGTAAGTAAGTAAGTACTATATAAGTATGAGGTTATTTGTAGAAATAAATGAATTATATAGTTTCACATTACGGTTCGATCTTATTTGAAAGGGCATCAAAAACGAGGAAAGACTGAATAGTTATTTCGTTCTAGTATAACATTCCTTAGTACTGCACGTTCAAGACCACCACTGCGGATCTTATTCAGTACATTCAATTCTTATAAAGAATGATTAAATTTTAGACCATTAAGTTGCCATCTAATGGTCTACATACTTAGGATGTAAACTACTAAATTTAACAATCTTTATCAACCTCAGTACAAACCACTATGTAAACACTGGTAACTAATTTCAAGGGAAAATTCCCCAAGTTAAGATGAGAAGCAGCGACTGTCCGCCGATTCCATTAATATCGAATGTGAGGTACTTACTCATCGGTGACAGATAGTTGCGCAATATCAAGAATTGGCTGAAGTTAGAAATATTAACCTTTAGACGCTAATTTAAGGGTCTAAGCTTTCATCGGTAAACCTGAAGGTTGTAGATTCAATCCCCGATAGGGTCATAGATGGAAACTTCTGAAAAATCTCATATCAGGAGAAAACAGCTTTTTAACTTTCAACAGGTGTCTGACTAAAGTAAATCTGTGATATAAAACTATAAAACGATTACTATGAATTGAATAGTCATTTGTTGAGAAAAATATATTTACTGGAATCATGAACTGATCAATATCAGATGACCATTGAAAACCTGGAGGAACTGGATAGCTATTTCATCCTAGTATGGGACTTCTTAGCAGTACGTATCCACAATCCTACATGCTGGAATCGAACTCACGACCTTCGGTCTCGCACACGAACGCCTAACCTTTGGATAACTGACTCTGCAGCCGACAGTTTTAATGTCTGACTCTAATCAACCCACAGTACTGCGCGACCATCTTCTACTGTATTGTATCTCACTTAATACGGTTGAAATCCACTAGTTACGACTTCTCGCTAAAGCTCTGAGAATTATCTTTCGAAGCTAGTCACCAGTGAGCAAATGATAATTATCAGTATACGGTTGTGGAGATTGTTGGCTTACACTAAAATCATGGATTGATTGAAGTTAGACATCAACACCGTTGGATACCATCTCAATCGTTCAGAGGGTAGGCGTTGGCGTGCGAGATCGAATATCGTGGGTTCGATTCCAGCATTCACGATCGTGGATGTGTACTGCTAAGAAGTCCTATACTAGGATGAAATAACTATCCAGTTCTTCCAGGTTTCCAATGGTCATCTGATATTGATTCGTTGATGAGTTTAATGAAATTCATCAATTTTCACAACACATTACTGATGAAAATATTCATATTTTCTTTCATAACAGAGATTTAAATGTACCAGGAATGGTAGCAAATATTTTCTTACAAACATTTAATTCATTGAATAAGACCAATAGACAACAATATCATGGTATCACTGAAGAAGAATCGAATAATTATTTAGAAGGTGTAAATCTTGAAGATATGCTAGAATTAACATTGGCCGCATTACAGATTATGGCTAAAGATCAATCTATTCAAGAAGAATTCATTCATACAGCAGGTTTAGTTTCATCTGTTGTACAAGTAAGTTTATTATATCATTGATCTTGGTAAAAAGTATTCTAGTTGATTAATATTTTCAATAATTTAATTGAAAAATGCCCTGGTACGGCCGAGAGTGGGAAGAGTCCGCTCCCCCTCTCGAAATGCCCTCACATGGCCACGCGTATATAGTCTCTGTCAGGGAAGCCCTACCCACTGCCTTCTCGTGGCGGGGGTGTTTACGAAATTGAGAGAATGAAAAGCGAACGTCCAGGACTTTAACCGAGTTGGTGGACATGCAGAGTCCACCTAGGGGAGCTGGAAAACCCTGATTCCAAACTAATGGTGTACATGGCTCCAGTATCCTGAAGGAACAAATAGCGTATGAACCAATCGTTGGTAACCGGCTACCATATGACTGCATCTCCTTACGATGCTCCACTGCCTTGTGGATCAAACCTTTAGGTCATAGGCACCGGGTGTAACCCCCTAAGTAAACCACCTGCTTCTATTGGACACCCGGGCAGTATCACAGCCCTTACACATATCATGTGAGATCTGTGTGACGCATATGTATTTGGTACTTCCTTGTACCAATATCTATGTGTTAAAATAAATTAGAATAAAATAAAACATTTTCTATCAGCTAGGAGTGTATATCTATAATTTTGAAGCAAATGGGATACTAACTGGTAATCATTTGTGATAATCAAAAAGCCTATTTATTTAATTACGTCCGTCACCCCTCATCGGGGGGGGGGTAGACCGCCCACTAGCATTCTCCATCTAATTCTGTCCTGGAGAATCCTTTCCAGTTATTTTCAGTTGCTACTTATCCTATTCATGTCTGTTTCTGTTTCCCGGCACAATGTGTTCCTTCGTTTTCCTCTATGTCTTTTCCCTTCAGGATTTCAATAAGCACTTTCCTCGTGATGCAGTTTGATGATTTCCCCAATATGTGTCCTATCCATTTCCATCGTTGTTTCCTAAGTTCCTCTTCAAATGGAAGCTGCTTTGTTCTCTCCCACAGTAGGCTGATGCTGATGGTATTTGGGTGATGTTCATTGATTATCGTGCGCAGACAATTGTTTATAAGTACTTGTACTTTGTTGATGATGGTTGTAGTAGTACTCGAAGTTCCGTCTCTGCATAGTAGAACTGTGTTGACGTTCATATTGAAAATTCTCACTTTGAGATCGGTTGACTGATAGTTGTTTCGAGTGCTAAATGTTCTTCATTCGTATAAATGCCACCCTCGCTTCACGTCTGTATCAAATCCTCATTGTTTATCGATGATGCTGACCAGGTTCGTGAAAGTTTTGACGTCTTCCAGAGCTTCTCCTTCAAGCGCGATTAAGTTGGTGTTTTCTGTGTTGTATTTGAGGATCTTGTTTTCCCCTTGTGTATGTCGAGGCCTAATGCTGCAGAGGTTGCTGCTACACTGAATGTCCTGACCCGTATTTTGAATAGTTATACCATCTGCAAAGTTCAAATCGTCTAATCGCATTCAAGCTGTCCATAGCATTCTGTGCTCCCTCTGAGATATAGAGGTCTTCATAATCCATTTAAACACCATATGAAAGAGAAAAAAGGAGAGTAAGCATCTTTTTCTGACTCCGGTTCTCACTTGGAATGCGTCTGTCGAATTTTGTAACATATGTCTTATTCGCTTCCAACGTCTTTCCCTAATTTCCTTTTCAGCTGGAGGATGGTTTGTCCTCTCCCACAGTAGTTTGTTGCTGATATTATCTGATCCGAGCCACTCACTGTATTTTTCGCTCCCATTGAGATGTAGAGGTCTTTATAATCCAGCCGAACACTAAAGGGAAGAGAATGGGCTGAAATAATCTGCTTTGTCTGACACCGGTTTTCACTTGGAATTTATTTGTAATACTGAGATCAAAAAGCGATTTACCGAGTAATTCATGACCTTCAATGCTTTTTCAGATATTTTCTACTCGTGATCACCGAATAGTCAGTGATATCACTCTTTTCTAGTCCTTAATCCTTATCAACTTCCGACCGATCGATTTGCAACAGGACCACTGGTCTATGTGACATGACATTCAGTGCACTATGTCTTGACATCAGATAACTGGAAGTAATGGAAAGAAAACCCTGGATTGTGGTTCCATGATATTTGGAACTCTTTAACAAGGTATGCCCGTAATCTTGAGGAAAGTACTGCTGTCTAGCGAATTCGATCCTATGTCATCTACTTTCCAAGTTATAAACATTAATACTGTTGTATTTAAGCCTCAACCAACGTCCTACCAGGTCGAGATATTTACAATTAATTAATCACTGAATAGTGGTCAATTACATGTTTGTCTACTCCTTTAGTACTGACCTCCTAACTTCTCAACATAGTGCATATAATATCGAATCACGTAAACTAGTAAGTCATATTGTAATTAGATCAACAAATGTAAGATTTAAATAGTTAGTCGTGAAATTGGGTTACATCTAGTTTAATTTATTTTTTTATTATTTAGTTAGTATATTCCCCATCTGTATGTTTACAACGTGCTTCAACTGCTTTCTTAAGTCAGTTGTCAACATCTCGTTCTGGATGTCAAGCAATTGAAAATGAAGGAGCTTGTCCTCGATTTACCGAACTAATTCAGTCGAATAATGAATATATTGGTAAGTGATCAAAATAAAATTTTATTCTCGCCACATAAATCATTCGACTTGTGTGAGGGCTTGGATAATGTCCGGGTGCCCAAACAGAAGCAGGTGGTTTTCTTAGAAGGCCACACCCGGAACCTTCGAGTTAAAGGTCTGATCCACATGGCAGTGGAGCGACGTAGGGAGATGCAGTCCCATGATAGCCGGTCATCAACGATTCGTTCATACTCCATTTGTTCCCTCGGGATCTTGGAACCCATGTGCACCATTGGTTTGGAATCGGGGTTTTCCAACTCCCTTAGGTCAATCCTCAATATCTACCAACCCGGTTAAAGCGCCAGACATTCGCTTTTCGTCCTTTCAATTTCGTAAATAACAGTAATGCCGCGAGAAGGCAGTGAGTAGCACTTCCCTAGCAGTGGTTGTGTGCACGTGGTCATGTGAAAGCATTTGCTGAGGGAGAAAGTGCTCTCTCCACTCTCGGCTATACCAGGGCATTTGAGAACCATTATTATTGATTTTCAGTTTACCATTGTAGTGGGTGTAATTCAGTGGGTAATGCATTATTGTTTGTAGTGAATGGTACTGAGTTTGACTCGCAATGTAGATATCAACATCAGAATGAAGGTATATCCAGCTGATGAGCATCAAGTAGGACGAAACATGCGAGCTTATTACCACTGTTAGCCACTATTCAACTTCATTAGATTTTGATATATAGTTTATATTTGATTAAAATCAATTATATCCCTCTCTTTTTAGCTGCGTATACTGCAGCAATCTTACATCGTATTGCTCAAGATAAACCTGAAGCTTATAGACGTCGATTATCATTGGAATTACGTCAATCACTTTTTGATGGTGGACTACTCAATGATCCAAATGAAATAGATCCATATAATTCAAGTCCATCAAAACTAATTGATGGTATACCACCAAATGATAATTCACCTCATATTACTGATCGAAGATCAAGAAATTTATCCGATTCAAGTTTAAGACAACGTTCGAAATAGAATAATGAATCACTTTTAATTGTAGTAAGTTGAATTTTATCAAAACATTTTCATCATGATACTTGATATCATATAGAACGAATTCATATTATGTTGTTGTTAATATAAGGGGACATGAGGATTGTCAGATTCAAAGCTTTATACAAGCTTATAATCATGGTTCTTAGTAGTGACTAACTACAAGAGGTAATTCACGGAGTTAAATGTGTGGCGATTAGCTTCCATCGACATATGAAGACGGTTGCACAATAACAAGGATTGATTACAAATGTAAACCATTGGTTATCAGCCCATTAGTACAAAGGTTAACTGTTCGCTGTAAAACTTAAAGGTCCTAGATTCGATCTTCAGTACAGTAGTGTATGGATACTGTTGAAGATTCGGATAATAGGATGAAACAATTGTCTAGTACTTCTTAGATTTCAATAGTCTTTTTATTATCTGAAGTCAGTCTATAATATGCAATTCCAAAAGCATATGATCTTCTCCAAAAATACTTTAAATATAAAATCTGTATGTTAATGTAGATTTGTAGTGAAAAACAACAAGCTGAGGATAAAATCCACTTTATCAATTCATCTAAGTGTATAATATTCAGTCTATTCAGTCACTCAGTTGTAGAATATTTATTTAAACACATAAATATTGGTACAAGGAGACACCAAATAGATGTGCGCCACATAAGTCATTCAATTTGTGTAAGGGCTGGGATGGTTTTCTTAGGGGGCCACACCCGGGATCTTCGACCTAAATGTCTGATCCACAAGGCAATGGAGCAACGTATAGAGAAGCAGTCCCATGGTAGCCGGTCACCAACGATTGGTTTATACTCCATTTGTTCCTTCAGAATACTAGAGCCCATGTTTACCATTGCTTTGGAATCAGGGTTTTCCAACTCTCTTAGATGGATCCTCCGTATCCACCAACCCATTTATAATGCCGGACATTCCATTTTGTCCGCTCAAATTTGTGACTAACACCTATAGTGCAAGAAGGCGGTGAATAGGACTTCGCTGGCAGTAATAGTTGTATGCACGTGGCCATGTGAGAGCATTTCGAGAGGGAGGGCTGACTCTCCCTACTGTCAGCCGTACCAGGGCATTCGGGTTAGATATTTTGAAATAACATCTATCATAGAATTAATTGGGAGTATGACTTTTATTATGACTGACTACCTTACACTTGACACGTCTATAATGTGATGAAGTAGTATTTTCATTGTACATTTTTCATATAAGCCAGCAAAAATGACAGAGAACGAAGCATACACACACACACACACCCAGCATGGATTACAATAGTGTAGATAGTAATTCTCGTTTCATTTCAGTTGGTTACTAGGTGTAAGATCAATATTGCGAACGAAAGTAAAGTTTTCTCCCCTACTTGCTTTACTGAATTCTTTTATTACTTTTTCTTGTATATTTCAGAGAACTATAAACCACTACAATCTCAGGAACTCAGTTCAATATCATTAACTAACTTACATCATTTTGTTGTCTGTAATATATATCGATTTATTTTTAATTTGCTATATCTAATTGAGACGATAATTAACTTATTCACTCTTTCTTTTTTTGTTTTTTGGAATCATTTCCAAATCGGTCGTTGCGTTTATCCCCATAAAGTATCAATCATTCAGGGGAATTCCGAAAATTGTTCTCGTATGATGTTACTTTGAAATTTCATTCTGACAAAAATAACCATCCAAGTTATATCGACAATGAAGAACCCAGAATACAAACTGACATATGTGTGTATATCGATTCAAATTGTCACATTGGATTAACATAGCGAGATACAACAGTTAGGGAAAATCTGACAGAAGTAGATGTAGTAAGAATATTATTTGCTTACTTATTTACACCTGTTACCCCGTAATGGAAGAGTATAGACCATCCATTGACATTCCCCATCAAACTCAGTCTTATACAATCCTTTCCAATTTCTATTCATCCTTTTCATGTCCGCTTTCAATTCTCAGCGCCGTATATTCTTTGACTTTCCTCTTTTTCGTTTCCTTTCAGGATTCCAAGTTAGCGCTTGCCTTGTGATACAGTTTGATGATTTCCGAAATGTGTGTCCTATCCAATTCCAACATCTTTTCTTAATCTCCTCCTTAGTTGGAAACTGGTTTGTTCTCTCCCATAGAAGTAGTAATAATGTTAGTGGTGATATAACAGATGAATTTAAATGGTTTTCTCTTTCTACGCCATTAAAAAAATATGATAATAAGACTACAGTGTATGACCGAGTTTATACTATCGTTAGATTGAATAGTCGAAGCGGTATCCTATACAGATACTAGACAACGTTATATCATATATCCGATTCACCGCCAATAATAGAGAACCAATGTAACGCTAAACAATACTTTATTTCAAACAATTACAGGTGGTCACTTCCAATGAGTTCGGAGTAGAAATCAATAATAGAAAGGAAATCACATATTCAAATAATCAGTAATCAAAGTTTCTGTATCTTCACACCGAGGGATAAATCACTTTTACTTTCATTACCACACACCAAGTTAAATACAAATAAACAAACGCATGGACCATGTAATGCACTATAGAAACAATACTTGACTCACTTTAGATAGAATTGACCATCGCTTTTGAAAGATGAATTAAAATTAGGTTCTCTCTCAAATAGCTTCTTTACAAAAAATACTCTATAACGGGTAGGTGAAATCCTGATAACAATAACCGGTTCACTGAAATATGATCTGTTTTTTCAGGCCTCTTTATTTATTTGAACACATAAATACTGGTACAACGAGGCAGCAAATGGATATGTGCCACACAAGTGATTTGATATGTATGAGGAGTGTGGTACTGCCCGGTTGCTCAAACTGAGGGCCACACCCCGGAGCTATTGACCTGGAGGTTAAATCCACGAGGCAGTGCAGCAACGAAATGAGATGCAGTCCCATGGTAACCGGTCACCAACGATTCGTTCATACTTCATTTGTTCCCTCGGGATCCTGGAACCCATGTGCACCATTGGTTTGGAATGAGCGTTTTCCAAATTCCCTAGGTGGATCCTCAATATCTACCAACCCGGGTAAAGCGCCGGACATTCGCTTTTCATTCTCTCAATTTCGTAAACAACAGTAAGGCAGCGAGTAGGAATTCCCTGACAGAGGCTGCGTAGGTGTGGTCATGTGAGAACACTTGATGAGGGAGAGAAGGCTCTCTTCACCCTCGGTCGTACTAGGGCATTTGGGGGCTCTTTCAAGCCTGACAGTATTTATAGACAAAACATATGGTTTGATATTGATGGTGTAGAGAGCCCTAAACTAACTGAAGTAACAGATATTTCGGTGTGTAATTCTAAGGCTTTCGGATAGTGATTTTCATTCTTTTTGTTTTTAAGAAAGAATCAACATATTATAGTTAATATTTAATGAGATTTCATCATTCATATCACGGTAATTTACAACTTTTAAAAAGACATATTCCCTTTTAGCTAACTTCGTTTAAAAAAACCCTATAAGTTTTAAGCGCTTTATCGAAAGTTGTCTATCTGACAACGGAAACATCAATGTCAACTTGTACTGTTAAACAATTATAATGGGCATCAATAAACTTCATTTACAGGACATGAGATACAGTTGGGTTGATAAAATATATATTGTAAAGTATTAGGAAGGGAGTGTACATTCGATGAGGAATTAATTCATGACAAATCAAGTTCATTGAGGGGTTTTCTTTTGATCTTATAAGACTCAAACCATAATTCCGAGGTTAGTCTTTAAGTACTATGTAACTATGGCAAATCAATTGATGAGGTAGTGGACATTTATTGACTGATGGTTAAGATATGTACCCATTTACCGACCACCTCTACAGGCGACTGATGTGAACAGAGAAAGAAAAAGCCTTGACATACTACTAAAAATATTTTTCGGGACGTCATTTAATTTAATTCAGATATTGGAAAACAGTAACATTTATTTTTGCCCCTAATCTATTCTACAGATCACCAGCTTTCGTAATTTAAACGTATTATTTTGTACTCTACTTCCCAAATTTCGACATAATTGTATTTTCCTAATTATTGTACGTTGTGGTCAGGTTAGTTATCTATTTATTCATGTACTCTTTTATACCAATCTGAAATCGGGAATAAGTCGAGTAGTGTTCCAGTTGTCTTCTCTCACTCGTGTGCTTGTCAGCCAATCAGGTAATAGAAAAGTTTTCTTCTCTCTACCCCACTTGGAACTCATGCGTACTAGCCTCAAGGTTAAGCCGGTCAGTCTATCTCGTCAAGGTCTTAATCTAGATTAGACAGGTTATCCTCAGCGCCAAGAGTGGGCAGACAAATCAAGGACGTAACAGCGACGACGGTCGGTGTAGTAGATTTCTAAGAAAGCCATGGTGGGCAAAGTTAAGACATGGCACCATTTCATTGACTTTAAGACCCAGTATGTAGGTAGGTATACATTACCTGGTTAGGGTTGTGATTATCGTAACTAATGGTTAAAGACTAAATTACGTGGTTTAAAATTGTTTTCAATAGTGCAAGTGTATTCACTACATATAACTTTAGATCCTAAAGCTTCAAAATTCATTACAATCTCTCATTTTACTAATATACATTTTCTTGGATCGTACTTTGGATGCTTAATCGTTCCAAATACCATTAATCCTGTTACTACTTCTATTATGGTATTTGCTGTGACAATATTCATCTCCCTGTGCTAATAGGGTATCGGAATTGGGACCCACGTCAGCACATGTTTCAGGTTCGCTCTTGTGTTTCACTACCTAACTGACCAATATAGTATATATTTCTTAATTTGTGGATTATCATCAGTTATTAAGTGTTAGTGAAATCTGTTATTAGCGTGACAAAGTCCTGACTATTGAATACGTAAGTTAGGATCAGACGGGAGCACGTTGATTGTTCCATTTCTAACTTGTCAGCGTTATCGTGGGTATAAAGAGGATACTACTGGAATATTTGTTCGCTTTCATAGCTTGCTCTGATTTATG